CCAGAAGATATACGTTAGCAACCTCTGCTAGAACAACACTAGTAAGAACCAATGGCCAAGTGTTACTCTGGACCTTTTCTAACCACATATCAAAAAAACAAGCCCTTTGTTATTTAAATGTGATATTAAACGCAAATGTTTATAAATACAATACCAAATAATGCACTGTATGACCTACATTACCATATCGAATAGTGTCAAATGTTGCGTAGTCTGGAACTATCTAGGTTTAAATTGTACTCATTAAAATGTAACATAACTCGTCTAGTCTGCGAAGCCTTTTATGCCTGGTCAAAACCTTAGCTAGGAATGAAAACTGTTTGCATATATGCAGGGATATGGTAGAGTTACTAATACAAAGAGGAAGTTAATCATACTGACATATAAATCTATATTTTCATTTCTTGTTCAACGTATAAGTATCGCAATGCAGTGAGGAAATGCTGCCAGCGTTAAAGGTACACTGCCACAGGGAGCTGTTGTTGTTTAGGAGCGCGCAAATGAATTAAACAATCGTTCTTCAAGTTCCTTTATTTTTTGCTTATTAGGCTATCTAATAACTGGCAGGGTAGTTTATTAGCCTTAACGTTTTCTCAGCATAGACGTTATTTGCTCGCTAATTCAGAGTCGGACTTGCGTTACAGCTCGGGCCTGTACGTCTTGCTTAACTCGTTTTTATATCATCTCGAACAGTTGTGATCCATTTTAGGCACAATTTTCATGGCAGTTAAAGTATTTATCTAAGACTGGAATTGACAGAAAAGTAGTACAACTATGACAGGTATGGGAAGGTCGGGACCCTTCGTACGGTTTTCACATTTTATTTTTTTATTATTTTATTTTTCCATGAATCAATCATCTGCAAGCTTAAATTTATAGTCTAACTATCTGAGATTCATATAAGAAAATGACAAATGATTTCATCTGATGGTTCAACCATAATTATGATTTAAACTAAATCTGGAAAACGTACGAATCTACCCCATCAACGGGGCACCTTCGTACAGTGTTGAGGGTACCTTCGTACGCTGTGGGGTAGTTCCGTACGTGCGATTAAAACGACACATATAAATCAAAATTCATTTATTAGCAATGAAATTAAACACAAAAATAAAGATTTAACTTCTAATAAACAAAAATAAAATACTTTAATTATAGTGAACAAAAATTACATAGCTTTTCTTAAGAAAACCAAAATTTAATTAGTTAGGTATCTTAAATTTAGAATCACATTCTTTAATCTTTGGTGCGGATTAGCACTTCTTATTTTCGGGTGTGGCAGTATAAATTCGTGGTTTTCCTGGCCGTCGTCATTTTGTTTGTTTTATTACTTCTTACAACATGCGTATAGAGTCGAAACCCTTAAGGTGTCAAAACTGACTTCGAAGGAACTACTATTTGATGGATTGGTAAATTATTCAAAGCATCTGGTTCACATGCATCAAAATCAACCTTAATAAAGATAATAAAAATAGGTAATAAAAATACATCGACGATAGCAATGATAGCAACACAGGACAAAGTTAATGGAAATATTAGAGCAATTAGCACACTAACACAATCTTTCCTACCTACCAGAGGGTTTAGTCAAGATGCCTTATTATTATAGACCACAAGCCCATGAACAAAAAATACCTGTGAAATGACCCAACGTGAATTACGCTTAGAAGGCTGTTACTATATCTGAAAATAGCTCTGAGCACTATGCCGTCATTTCTGAGCGGTACATGTGAGTACGTGAGTGAATGGACTTTCTCATGTACAATGGGGGAATTTCGACTAATTATTAAAGTACGGCTTTGTTATAAGTGTATAGATGATTAAAAATAAATGTCGAAAAACCTAGTGCCGTACAAAAGTGATGGTGCCGGAAGTCGGTGCAAATTTTTAATTCGACGACAGTTGCAGGAGCAATATAGGTCATTTATTACTGTACGGCATTTGTGTCATTCCTTTTGGACACATATACAGATACTTTACCCGTAAACGCCGTACATATTCCCAGCGGAGCGGTCGAAAGCCAAGGGTCGCAACATATGTCTGATTAGCATATAGGTGATGATGATATGAATCAACATAAAATTAAATGATCTTGAGAGTACTTCACAAATAGATAACATTTTCCAGCATGCCGTACATTTTTTGTGGAACACATAGGTGTATGGGGCAAATTACTTTTCTCAGAAAAGAGTCATTTTCCGGTGACTTTTATCTGTACGGCAATAACACAGGTTATTAATACTTTAGACAATCTTCAATAAATTTTGACGACTCATTGGTCTAGTGGTTAGTACCCCTGACTGCGAATCCATGGGTCCCGGGTTCGATTCCCGGCTGAGACGAACATCGATGTGATGAGCATTTGGTGTTGTGCTTAGGTCTTGGATGTTTAAATATGTATTTATATGTCTATCTATCTATAATATGTATGTATATCCGTTGCCTAGTACCCATAACACAAGTTTCACCAGCTTAGCATGGGACTAGGTCAATTGGTGTGAATTGTCAAAAAAAAAAAAAAAAAAAAAAAAAGATAAATGCCGTACACTTTCGATAGTCCGCTACCACCGCCTACCAATACAGGGCGTCCCAAAGTTATGGGAAATGAAGGGAAAGTACCTTAAATATCGTAGATAGGGTATTTTACTAAAAGAAGACTTTATGTTATTTTTAAAAGTTATTAATTCTGCATTCAAAGATTTTTAAAAAATTACTTGCCTGGTCTGGGAATCGAACTGACTTAAATGTAAAAAAACACCCCTACTTTTATGATGCCAATCGAAAGAATGGCCTTCTTTTAGTAAAATACCCTATCTGCGATATTTAAGGTACTTTCCCTTCATTTCCCATAACTTTGGGACGCCCTGTATTATATATATTTTTGTTAAAAATATTTTTCCTTTACCTCTCTCTGCTGGTACGATAAGGCTGTAAATATACTTTACAGCCTTATGGTAGTATACTCAGATATGTACAGTTATTAATGACCTTAAGGGACACCTCAAACGTCGTCGAAGTTTTTATCAGCTGTAAAGAATAATCTGGAGTAAAATGTACGGCATCTGGTTTTTTTTGTTTATTTATATTTGTTACATATAAAATAACAATAATCTTTGAAAATATTACTCCCCATATTACTCTAGGAGCATTTGAAAAGTCATCTAAATTTCGGAAATTTCATATATTTTTTATCATAATATTTTTATTTGTTACCATTTATAATGAACGGCTATAATGTACAACGGTAATATTTAGTAACATTATGTAAAAAAACAAGTTGCCGTACATTATTCTCTGATCTTACAGCAGTAAGAACTTGGTAAATCCTGAAATTTCGATAAATATTTAATTACACAAATATTAACTATATTATTTGGACGGCATAATTATAAAACATTATTGTCCGTGTTAAATAATATTTTGAACATGTTGCCGTACATTTTACAATGACCTTAGGGTATATGGGTGTAGGGGTAGGGTTCCGACCCTTGGCTTTCGACCGCTCCGCTGGAAATATGTACGGCGTTTACGGGTAAAGTATCTGTATATGTGTCCAAAAGGAATGACACAAATGCCGTACAGTAATAAATGACCTATATTGCTCCTGCAACTGTCGTCGAATTAAAAATTTGCACCGACTTCCGGCACCATCACTTTTGTACGGCACTAGGTTTTTCGACATTTATTTTTAATCATCTATACACTTATAACAAAGCCGTACATTAATAATTAGTCGAAATTCCCCCATTGTACATGAGAAAGTCCATTCACTCACGTACTCACATGTACCGCTTAGAAATGACGGCATAGTGCTCAGAGCTATTTTCAGATATAGTAACAGCCTTCTAAGCGTAATTCAGGTTGGGTCATTTCACAGGTATTTTTTGTTCATGGGCTTGTGGTCTATTATTTGTATGTAGCAAGTCGAAAACTTAATTTGTATGAAAATTACAGTTCGTGTCGACAAAATATTTTCATACAAATTTAGTTGTACAATTCGTTCAAATGTGCCCCATCTAGTGCTGTCCGAAAGTACCCCACTAACTGAATAACAACAAAATATAACTTATTTTAATATTAATAGGAAAACGTCATAAATTAAGTATTGGAGACGTATCTAAGTATATTTTGCTAGTTACTGATAGAATACTCTACACGAAAACTTATTTTATCTACGGTAACAAGAGACAAAAACATTGATCAAAAATTACTTACCGAGCGCGAAAACACGTCCATGCCTGTAACTTCATTCTCATCGGTGCGAATTTCGCGAAACTTCGATTATGTATAGTTCGTACCTCGACTCATGCACACATACAAAAACAAGACTGTACTTTGTTTCGTTCAAGTTTTATTTCGACTGTATGAATGTGCCCCGCGTACGAAGGGTAACAATCTTCCCCTATATGTCAATACAATACCAGTTTATGACAGCTCGAACATATTGGCTTTTCATACAGTTTGTATAGTAGTCACGTATTTTGTTTTAACGATGAATGTTTGCGCTTTCGCTTAGGTTTACGACCTCCAACTCTTTAAAAAAGAGCATACTTCATACTCCCTCAAACGCTCCCTCGTACGCTCGTTTGCTATAAAAAATAATAATAATAATACGATTCTTTGAAGCCATTCGAACCACTCTATTTCGGTTTATTCCCGTTATTCGTTATTTCTTGCCAACTTGAACAAATGGTTAATCGTATCCACTTCCGAGATTCATTGGAAAAATATTTTATCATGACAGCCGTTTGAATATTTTGGCTCGGAATTGCTAAAATTGCTGTCGCTTGTTACCTTTTTGTGAAGTGCGAAGTGCGCGTGCGCGGTTTCGTCGCGTACAAAACTAGCTGGCACCGCGGGCGCTGACTCAGTTTGATATTAAACATTCTAGCTAACTCGCGTCTACATGAGTCATCCTCTTATCAGTTGTGTTTTTATTTGATTTTTTTATTGATTTTTATTTGGTGCATTGATTGTGGACGATTGTGAAAACTGTCTTCATGTCTCAGTTGGTGCCCTACCACCTTTTCAACGGCGAGCAGGACGAAAGTCTTATGTTCGCTACTATGTTCGACTACCAGAATGAATATTCAAAGCCAGTGGTGAGTTTTACTTGTAATTCTTATTTAAATCGAATTAATTCAAGATTATTACTGTTTATATAAATCTATATCATGCAACATAATACATGAATTAAGTATCGTTAATAGTTTTTGATATCCCGCTGTAACAAGAGATGGCGCCAGCATACAAAAGCGAAGTAATATCAGTTGATAAAGTTATCTCTATCGGCCTTTAGCTTAAAACGTTTCAAGGTTTCAAATGGAAAGTTGTAGTTCCTGTAACTAGATTACTTATAGATGTTAACAAATATTGTCTTTGAACAAAACATATTTTACGAGTTTTATATGATGCAATATGAAGAAATGCGGATCTTGACTCGATTAGCACGTAACCAAATACATGTGAATGGGGCAAACTAGTAAAACGTCACAACACATACGACTTGATGACGTCATCGTGTGACGTAAGCACTTCACCAGGTTTTGGGAAGTTCCTCGAACTTGGCAGCTGTTCCATTTATATGTATTCCTATCGATGACGCTTAGTTATGAAACTTATTAATATAAAAACTTTTAAAGTCTTAAAAAGGTTCTATTATATCTCTTGCATTAAATTAATATTGTTTTTTGTGTCGAAGCGGAGTGCGTGACAAATTGAGCGTTATTCTAATTAGCGTGGTTTTATAATTTCTTATGTTATTTACCTTGTGTTGTTGGCGTCAGTAACCGCAAAGTTTATGAAAATTCTCTATAAAGTATCAATGAAGTCTGGGTATTACCTAGAGTGTACTCTAGAATACTTGGTTGTAGACTTTATAGCTGAGTCACGTGCGGTATAATTGCGTCATTTTTTTATTAATTCTGATAAGACCAGAGAAGTGGTTCAAATGTATTTTGAGGTAATATGTTATTTGAAGGTTTTATTATTAATTTGTCATCTTATAACACTGTATAATATTTAATGAAATAACGCAGTCACGCTTTACATGATATTTCATAATGAATTAAATTTTAAGAAATTTTAAGAAATCGTAAGACTGTCTTCTAGAAACAACTGATCTTTAAGGAGTCTAATTGCGCAAGAACTGGGTAGCGATGTTAACCTTTTCGAGGCGAAAACTTCAAGTCCGGCTGTCTTGACCTACATTGCTTGTGAAATTTCTCCTGCGCCCGCGTCGTAATTTACTTCCAAGAACGCACGTCCGCCTGGGAATTCCCACTTTGTAATCGTTTACCTGCTTTTCGTAATATTGTTCTTCACTAAATATTATAAGTTTACGCTAATATAACCTTAATTATCTTCAAGGATTAATTAAATCTGGAACCTTCTAATTACGCTGAAGAGTATATATTTATTAATTACGCAATTTAATTTAACTCACAATTACACAACAAATAATGTATGAAGTAGAATTTTTAAATGGGGTTTTTATTCAAGTTATTCTGTTATTTGTTCAAGTCCTTAATTTATAAACAAGTGGCTAAATTATTTAAACCAATATCAAACTTGTGGTAAGATAGCAGATGTATTCGGTCGACACCTATTAAACGGTTATATTGCGACCAATAAAAGCCGGATGTGAACAATTTGTTCTAATTGTACTGTACTAAGATGAACTGCTATACATACGTCTATTAACAATGTTAGATGCGCTTTAAATGTTTATTATCACAGTACTTGAAGCTGTAATGCTCTGATTGGGAAGTTCCTTGAACTTGGCAGATATTTGAATTTTGTATCGATGACGATTTTGAAGCTAATGTTAGTACCTATATAAAAAAGTGCGTGCGTACAAAGTACACATGTCAGAAGTGAAACTTCTTTGTAAATTAATTATTGAGTAATTAAGCTGTTAAAAAAATGAAAATTACTTACTTAATAAATTAATAATGATATTGATATCTATTAAAAACACCACCAGAAAACTTATTTAGGCGCACGAGGGTAAAATTTACGGAACGTCACGAAGATGTGCAGCGTTTTTGTCGAGGAAAAAGAGAATGAGAAGGGCGAATTACTTTATAGAAATTCTATTTTTAAAATTAAAATTTCGTAAAGAGTATTTATGAAATATTTAATTAATTAATCACTGGCGCTACAACCTCTTTAGGTTTTGGCCTCAGATTTTTGAATCTGTTTCATGATCATATTATAAAATTATATGTATAAAGAAGTTTCACTTCTGACATGTGTACTTTGTACGCACGCACTTTTTTTGTTATTCTTACTCTGCCCCGTCTTTGATTTTTAAAATGCTTCGTTCAATCCCTTGCTGTCTCTCAATTTTTTTATATTTTTTTGCTATTGACCATGTTTGGCCCCGGTAAGTCAGGCAAGGTTTTATGCACATATCAACTTTAAAAGATGAACATACGACTATTTTAAATGTCTAGTTAGATGCGTTTTAAATATATATAGTATGTACTTGAATCTTGAACTGACCTGGGTTTAAATAAAAAAAGCAAGCTAAGTGCTTCAGATAAATTTCTTCTTTACGGCAACTTTGTGTCAATAGTCGACGGTATTTTTCATATAAATTGAATTGGTATTCCAAAAGTGTATTAAAATTAAAATACTGAAATAGATTTTAAATACTATATTTTTCACGGTCTTTGTGCGATTAGATAATATTCGTGTGTCATGCTTCGTAGAAATATGAGTCAGCCAAGATGTCGTGCGCGGAAATCATAGTTCACAACATCTTGTGCGTAATTCGTAGTAATTTTTTAAAAGATTTTTCACTAGAAAGCCTTTAATTAAATATTTGATAGGAAATATTTTATTTCGATATTTCAATAAATAATATAAGCAGTGTTGGCCTAATAGCTTCAGCGTGCGACTCTCATCCCTGACATCGTAGGTTCGATCCCCGTGAACCAATTGACTTTCTTTCTATGTGCGCATTTAACTTGCGCCCGAAATCTGAGGCCCAGATCTATATAGCGCCACTGATTTATTTATTTATTTAGTTTCTATATATAGAAGCCTTTTATATCCCAACAAATTTTGTAAATGCAAAGCATTGATTTAGATTCGAGATTAAGTTGTGCTAAAAGTCGAATGATTTAGAATTAAAATTATCTTACATTCATCCCATATTCCACATATTTCAATTTAAGCATGCTACATTACATTATTAATATTAAGTCCTTCCCAACCAAAACAATTGTTTCAAATCTATAGACAGCCAACTTGTTTAATAACCCCATGTTGGTTTCTCAATGCTTTAAAATTGTGTTATATTCATCCCATATTCTACATATTCATCCCATATTCTACATATTCCAATTCAAACATGCCACATTACATTATTAATATTAATTCCTTTCCAACCAAAACAATTGTATAAAAGCCAGTCAACTTGTTTAATAACCCTATGTTGTCAATGTTTTAAGAGACATTTAAAATATCTAAGTACACAATTATCAGTAGTCACCATAAACCTAAGTGGACACTTCGGTTGCATAAGTTGAGACGTTGTGACTTTATTGCTGTCGTTGAAGATAACTTAACCAATGTTATCCATTTCGGTCCATTACTTAAAGTGTTGTCCATTGTGTTCCGCTTCGGACAGAATAAAGATAATTTAAAGCTTTTGTTTCTGGTAAGAGCTTCTTACAATAGTTCTAATCTTTTTAACAAAGAATGGCATTCATATTCGAAAGTGCATAAGTCAATTGTCAAACGCTCAAATTTTATTTGGACTTTTTTGAAGAATTTACAATTTAATATTATAAATTTGTAATAGTTGAAGGTTGTAATGGGTTTCGGAACACAGTCTTTTGTAGCTTTATTTCGTAACAAATTTTTAAATGTGCTATAATAACATAGATAAAAAATACAGGTATGTATATTGTATACGTATTATACAGATTCATATTATTAACTGCCATTGACATGCCATTTATATACGGCATGCTTTTTGAAACACAGATGTAAGGGCTAGTTGATCTAGTTCTTAGGGTACGAAATTAAACACTCCAATGATGACTTGATTCACTTTAATTCACACACTGATTTTACGTAAACTGTATAACTTCAAACTTAACAAAGGAATTGCCCGTGCGTATGTGTTACAACCTATTTTATAATCCATTCCCTACTCCGACTCGACCATCCCACTTTGGGCAGTTGCTTGAGTCAACTCGTAGCAAGATTCTTAAGAATATGTTTCATAAAAATGTTTAGAATTTAATTAAATAAATATTAAAAGCTAACACAAATAATATCAGAATAGGTACATGTAACTTAACAATCACCTTGTTAAATTTAAGACCAATAAAACAAGTCTAACGCCTTATAAAAGGCTTGTGTCGGTAGTATGACATTTTTGTGCGCCTGCCCACTATTTGACAGTTTCACACCACCCACGTTGTTGTCTATCACTTTTTAAATACTTCGTTTTTTATTACCGTTGTTAAACTACTTGTTACATTTTTGACGTTTGACATTTGATTCGATGTTGTTTAACAGATAATTTGTTTAAATGTTTACTTGGATTACTATAGTGATTTTACGAATTGTTTTGATAATTGTAAAAATCGTTGAAAGGTGTAGTAAATAGTTTTCATTTAAAATAAATGTAAATAAGATTGTTTCGGTTTGGTAATGGACCAGTCACGATTGCTTCCAATTATTTTAAATGGCTTTAATTTTTTATTAGCTCCGAGAAAGGTTAACTGAGATATCGGTATTTTAAACGACAATGTTATTCTCGGCTTTTGAAAAAAAAAGGTAACAATAGTACAGTAAATATTTTGAACTGACTTATCTCGTAACGGAAGATTATTGTTAGGTATGTGCAAAGTAGCCGCCTTTAAGATGATTTAATAATTGCCTCTGGCTCGCCTTTTGTGTTTGCGGAGGCTTGAAGCTTAAAAAAACTTATTCGCTTTTCCTTGACAACTTTCCTTTTTGACGTCAGAGCCTTAGTGAGCTTATCGTCACTGTATAATGATAGCTTCGTATGTCAAAAAACCATTTATTTTTTTATTTTTAGACGCTTATGTCATTTAACTGGTATAATCATAAAGTAAGGACTTATTTATGTTATTAATAAAGATCGAAAACTATGGACTAAAACACATGATAATATTTTAACGAACATTGACGAAATGAAACATTTTTCGTTTCCTGTAATGTTTGGTTCTGTGGACGTACGAGGTTATCATTCTACAGCGACGTTATTTCATTATTACTTTAAGTTCTCATAAATTGTTATAGCTTTGTTTTCAAATTATATTTTACAAAGAATAATATATTTTATAGTTATTTGAAATCGACTTGGAAATTCCCGGTTAGTTTTATCTGTAGTTTGATAATATAATTTTTATAAATAATATACGTACTCACACATCGACACAGCTATATTTAGATAATATCACTTTGTCATTTAGAATTTAATTATTATGAAACTAGTATCTATTCTAGTAGTAAATTTAGTAAAAGTTGTAGGTATTTAAATGTCACTTTTAAATGTGATATCGTATCACGTAACCTTGACAGAATTGATTTGTTTATTTTTTTTACAATTTAAAGCAGCTCTTGAATTTTATTGACTTTGGACGATAGTTACAACTAAGTACGGGTCGGATGACTCATACATTTGGATCGCATGTGAACATTCTTGAAATTTTTTAATCCTTTTGTTTTAATGATCGACAACTTAATTTTCGTAAGTCGCACGGGTATAATCTTAAAATTATTATTAGTTATCATAATTAATATTATTGTTAACAATATTTGGTTAAGTTGCAGACAACTTGGTTAAACTTGAGATTATCGATTACGGTAATGTAAAGGAATATTTTCTGTATTGTTACCAAATTTATAATGACGTACCATAATGTCGTATTAATGTAATGACGTTTTAATAATAAAGCGCGTTTGTTTCCAATCTTTACAAATGTTATCAATATACAGTTTAAATTTATTATATTCATTATTTCTTCATTCTCATTATCCTGTTTTCGTTCAGTACCATTGATTGGAACCCCTTCACGAGTAAAGGCCTCCTTTAGCTTTTAAATTTCTATATCCATGGCTTTCTTTCTTCATTCGCTTCCTGCTGACGCTTCTATATCTTCTATCCACCTTTTTCCTCCCCCTTTTCTCCTTCTTCCCCTTCCATGTAAAGTATTTTAAGTCCATCTTTAATCTATTCCATTATTTTAATAAACAAATTTCTAACAAAGGATTATCAATTCCCACTGCAATTATTTCTTTGTTGCACTCAGTTACGTCACAATGAACGTGAAGCCGATATTTACAACAGCTGCTAAGTCCTTGTTCCGATTATGGTCATGAGTCGTGCTTAGAGCACCGTAGATTACTGACATTTTCCACGTTTCCGCCTTGATTGCCTTATTAAAGGATGTCATACTTGCATTGACGCACGTGCGTTTGATTATTATAAAATATTATGTCCCACATTTATGTGTTCTATTTACATAGAATTGTTCACCTCATAAGGCAGACAATGGCCACATTCATAAGCTAAAGAATACGACAGATTCCACAATTTAACAATAGGTTGATAGCAATAAAATATGGCAATTAATAGGAACTCGTTAAGCGTATTAAAATCCGTAAGATTAGATCATATAGATTTTGTTAGCGAGTTTGCTTATCTTGCCGCAGCCGCGTTCAAATTATTTGAAGAAGTCTATTAAGTATGAGGGTGTGCAATTATTTAATCAATAACCATCTAAAATTCGTAATATTAGCGGGTTTAACCAATTCAAAAGGGCATTAAAGACACATATCAGAATGATCATAGTAGACTAAAATTGGCACGGCTGATGGCGACTTGTATCTCATTCGTATATACAAATTAAGTTTCTCATGTAAATAAAATACATTATTTTTTGTAAAGAGAAATAAAGTTCTTTCAACATAGATACAGGAAATGTTACTATAAATGTACACCTTCCTCCGCGACTTATAGATTCTTAAATAAAATTCACTTAAACAACAAAAATAGTAGGATTTTCTTTTATGAACATAACTTTTACGCATTTTAAATAAGACACTTTTTTAACGGATTGAAGCTATATTATTATAAACTCCGGGGAAATAAATACAGAAAATATAGCTTTTTCTACAGCTGTGATACTTCTTGACATTCAACACCTTTTGTCTTCAGTCACCGTGACCACGCACGCGAAACGTCGGGAAAAATTTAAAATTATGTAAAATAATTAAAAGTTTATAATAATGCATAGCTTCAATCCGATAAAAAAGTGTCTTATTGTCCCTTGATTTGAGAACTGGCAGTAAATGTAAAATTAGAAGCATTAATATTTATTTCTTTAATGACGAATCACAAGTGTACATTGTGTTACCTACGTGAATAAATGATTTTTGAATTTGAATTTGAATTTAAAAAAGTGTTCTCTTTAAACAAAAATCGTGATCGACGCCACAATAAGCGCACATCCAATACGGACATTATTTAATGAACCCTCGTCAGATGAAAAGGTCAAATTATTTGAAAAGATTAATCTCGTAAATTATGTGGGCCTAATGCGTCTCACCAGATTTCTCGGTTGACAGCCTGACTTATATTCAAAAGGACCTTAATTTTTTATCGTCAGAAAACCGTCTTTTATAACTCGCCCAATATTGAAATTGTGGTACCGTTTATTCGTTTGTGGTATGTAGCATACAATGTTCGAATATTTTTATTTGTGTGGGCATTCTTGGTTGAAGGATCTCGCACTCTGTCAGTTTACAGAGAGTAATGCACTCGTAAAGGTTTATGACTGCATTTTGTACCACGAATGTTTAATTTGAGTCTGCTTCAATTTTTTGTGACTATTTATTAGTTATTATTTATTATTTAAAATGTCATGTGGAACATGGTGTAATGGTTGCAACTCCTTACAAACATTGTGTTAAACAAAAAACTTGGCGATTAAAAAGAGTGTTCTTCTCTTCCGTTCTACGCCCATGATTAGAGAACTGGCAGTAAATGTAAAATTAGAAGCATTTAATGTATATTTCTTTTTTGACGTTCATAAGTGTACATTGTGTTACCTACAATAAATGATTTTGACTTCACGAAGATTTTCGGTTCAAAGTTGATGTTGGAAATTTTTAAGTGCAGCAATTTTACCACTTTGGTTGACGATGTTCCTATTGAATCCAATTTATCGTTTTATTACTCCCACACAGTTTCGATGTTTTTTGGTTTTCTTTGTTTTCAGTTTCCTTATCAATATTGAAATCAGTGATTAGGATGTAGTCTATTGCATTTGCTTGCATTTATTCAACGCGGTAATTTTTTGTCCAGCGTTCCTATTATTCAATTAATGATTTTCCTCAATGTATCTCTGTCTAACATTCCCAATGCAATATTTATAAGTGTTTTGAATAATTTACTATTTGTACAACTATAGTCTAATTAATTTTAATTTTTTATCGGGCTGACGGATTATTAGGAATTTTAAACCTTCCTTTTAATTTTGAATTTGAACATGACTTTTTACGGTTCATATTAGATTGTCATCAAATTATTATTATTTGTTTACTTTCTAAATGTAAAGGTACCTTTAACGATGCAACTTTGAGAGGTTTGTATAATAACCATTTGTAAATATTGCTGCAATTCGGCACTTCTTTCCAATCTTAATTATAAATTCTACGTAAGTAATCGCGCAGACTGTGTTGGGTTCCCAATTAGGAGGACGCCAAAAGGGTTTGTTGGTTGCACCTCATTGTTCTCTTCGATATCTAGGCTACAGGGTGTCGCAAGTTTGCCTTTTTGAGGAGTTGAAAGTTCTGCTGCATGCGTTGCGAAATTGCGTAGGTGGTGCATTTGCGCGGGGGCCCGTCTGGTCGGCAGGGGCGGCCGGTGGTGTGTTTACGATGCACCGGCGCCGAGTGGGGCGTAGGCGTCGCCAAGGGGCGTCGCGCCAGGCTTATCAGACGACGGCGGGGCCGCCACGCGAGCCTCACTCACCGCTCCACCGCTGACCGTGATTCTCGTGTTGCACTGACACCGGTTAAGATAAAAACCTTTGTCCAGTCGAAACGCAATATTTACGTTCACCGCGCAGGGGTTTTCCGCGCCCGACATCTGTCAGTCGCTTGTTTTTATTGTGCGCACGCGTTCGCTTCTGTTGTTTCAAGTTTGAAATCGCAAAAAGTGTTGTGCAGTGCAATTAGTTACTGGATTGCCTTATCGTAGTTATTTGGTAAGTGGAAATGATAATTATTTTTGATATTTGTCAGAATGGCTGATGTCATCATAATGTAATTGTATTTTAACGGTCTACATAGTTAAGTCAGCGTTTTCCTCGTAACATGTTGGAACATGATTTTGCGATGTTGAAACTGGAGCGGCTCTTTTGTTTCCTCCAATTTTTAGACTACGGTATTTGGTTAGGGCTGTTAATATTTTGCTAATTGGGTAAAAGGTTTTATCGATGTTGTCTGGTGCGCATGTGACGGTGCGTTGTTGCGCGCGCGCTTCGTGTCATCGTTCGCGGTCAGTTGAACGAACCCTCAGACCGACGTCAACCTTGCCATAATCGAGATTATTTGCATCATCAGTATACCTACTGAGCACTGGGGAGTACTATCTAGTTATGTCATGTGGATGTGAATAGTGCTTTATCTTAAGGACATATACCTCTTGCATCACCCTAATGCTCTCTTCTGCTCAGATATATAGATTTCTAATTTTTAAATAACAATCGTTTTTTGGGAAGTCATTGAACATATATTAATATAAACAATATACATACATTTGCATCTGACTGAATTTTTAAGTAGGTAGGTGTTTGCAAAGGTAAAATAACAATTAACTTCCTACTAAATAAATATTGAACTATAAAATATAGCTAATCAGTTCCATAGTCCTCGTGTACTTTGAAGTATTTTGCAATGAAAGTTCTTATCTTTGCTTTCGTGGAAGGGTGATAAGCCCGCCGGCTGGAATTAGCAGACCTTTTGCGCGTCATTATCACACTGATAACGAATATTTGTATTATGTATTGTAAGATTTTCTGGAAATTGCATAAATCTATGTATGGCGACGGTAACGTGTGCTGAGAGTAATATGGGCTGAGACATTTCTGTATCGGTTATATATTTATTATATATTTTTTGGCCTGTTGAGTAGGTTTTTTTATTTTTTTTTATTATGGAACAGGGGGCAAGCGGGCAGGAGGCTGACCTGATGTGAAGTGATACCGCCGCCCATGGACATTTTCAATGCCAGAGGGCTCGCGAGCCTTTTAAGAATTGGTACGCTCTTTTCTTGAACCCTAAGTCGAATTGGTTCGGGAGTACTAAACGGAATCGTACAATTTAAAAATTTGTGCAGAAGGATTCGAGTATTAAATATGTAGGTATATATTGATATTTAGTTTTTTTTGTAATAGGAGGCAAACGGGCAGGAGGCTCATCTGATGCCCAATTAAACTCAATTGAAAATTAATTAAAAAAAAATTAATGAATTAATAAATTATTTAAATTAATTTTCTGCTCAATTTATTACAAGTAGAATTGATTTCGTATACATTAAATGAGTTAGGTACCGCCACACATAAATCGGAACTGTCAAATAAGGACCTCCATTATATGAGACACTTACGTGTCATCGACCGTAAAGTGTGGTTAGGGTCTGAATACTTCTTTCTATAAGTTGTTACAAGTTAAAGTCCGGATATTAGTTATAAAAAAACAGCGGTTAATTCAATAAGTTTTTCGTCGACTGTTATTTTTTATTATTTTTTCATTTACTTTTTGACCTATATTTAATAGATTTATGTATAAGAACATAAATAGTGTCTGGTGAGACTAGGGCGAATGAAAATACGAAAGTGTTTCCGTCAACAGTTCAAGGAAAGCGCTTTAAGGGGATATGAGACGACGACGCCGAGAATGACTTTTGAATGTCAAAGTTTCTCACAAATTTTTAACTAATGAACGTACCTATTTAAGAAAATATATTTTTTATTAGTTGTTTGTAACATTAATTCCGTGGAATCCATCATCCATCCATCCTTCATGGGAACCAGACTAAAAATCCGAAATTTATTCAGTAGTTACCCATAGCCTCAAAACAACTAGATTGTGAGTTAAAGGTACAGTACTCTATAGATATAGTACTCTATAGATATAGTACTATACATTTTAAATTATATATGGTAATATTAAAAATGGATTATAAGATAAATCTCAGCAAGGTCATCTTGTGCAAGAATGCAAGTAGATTTGCATTATCGTTTTGTTGATTTTATTTTACTACTAGCATTTGAATTTTGCTTTAAATTTTCGTAACCAGCTCCCTTTATAGCGAAACTCACGAGTCTAAAGCCACAATAATACATTGATTTATTTATAGGTCCCAAAACAACATGTATGTAAAATATCGTATTGAAAGACATCTTTCACTGTTCTATGCCTGATTAAATTGACCGTTAAACCTAATTAGGCTTTAAAACTAAAGTTTAGGTTTAAAGGTACTATGTTCTTGTAGTATTAATCTACTGCTGGATAATATAGGAATTGGCTTTGAATAATATTGTAAAATTATTTGGGACGAATTTGCGCGCCATCGTGTGTGGCAGAATATGCGAACGATTTATGATTGTATCACCTTAGCATTTGTTATTTGTACCATATTCTTGCAATAAATAAATTATTATTATTATTATTACTAAGGGACGATTTAGTGTTGCTTATATACCTACAGTAATTAGGATTTCTAAGTGTTTATTTTTTATTAATTTAATTACACTTAAATTTATGGAAAAACAAATAACATGAAAATTATAAGGGATGCAATGGGCGGCCTCTTCGCTAACAAACGATCTCTCCCAGGCAACCTTCGTAAGGATGAAAATTAAAAAAGAAATATGATGGGTAAAGTGTAAGAAGTACATAATCAAGTCGTATAAATATAGAATCACCAACCTTAATTTAAAAGAATCGAAATAAACTAAAAAGTCAAAAACTATGTTCATAAAGATATATAAATGACTGGGCTTTCCCCAAATGAATGTTATTCTTACCCCTTACTTACTTACCTCTTACCCCTAACTCTCGTTTAATAAAATCCTATACGCAGATTACTTATCGACTCTAAATAAAAGAGATTGAGTCTCTAAGTCGTTATAAAGGAGCAATTAAATACCTTTGTTGTGATATGTTAGTGTTTGGTTAGATTTTCTGTGCATTTTCTTTATATCACGTATTAATCATTTCCTCGGCTCAAGGTAACGTACGAGACAATGGCTTTGTCTGACGTCTGCACGTAACTGTTTCACGTTGCTTTATTATTTTTGCCGTCAAAGATCTTTGCAATTTAACAGCAAGGTACACCTCGACATTCGTACATTTAATTTTCATTTTTAAATCATTTTTCATAGTATTTGTGTGGGAACCGTTACACAAAATATTATGAATAATAATCTGTTTTTTTTTAATTTATCATCGAGACAAACTTAAGACTAATTTACTCAGATACATCACTTATACCACTTTTAACTTTTAATTTAGACCGTGTAACATGAGTAATTTAAACTCATGTGGGCGACGCAATTAAAAAATAAATAAAACAAGCAAACTCCAGCGTGGGTTGTCTTTGTACATATTAGTGGATAATGTGAAATATGATTTTTATAGAAGATATGGTCTAATCTAATCAACACAATTTGTTTTGAGTTGCTTATCTTGTTTGGGTAGTTTATAAATATAAAATATGTTTTCTAGTGAATACGAAGTTTAAACAGTTGAGTTTTAACACCTTTAATGTTGGGTATAATGCATGCCGGTAGGAGTGAACGTTAAATGCGGTGATTTAAACGGACGACCTCAGGATTGGGAGTCGTAAGCTTAAGCCACTAGGCCGACACTTGCAACTGTGCTGTATATATTTTTGCGTATATTCGTCTCAAGAAATTTATATTATTTTCGTTTAAACGGAACTGAATGGATGAATAGGTTTAATTATATCATATCAAAAGAGAACCAGTTTTTAAATATCTATGAGATAATGCATACAGTACCATAGTACATTATTTATCACTTATCCGCACCACACCACAAAATAATAATGACGGAACGATATTACGAGATAACACAGAACCGTTGTGAAGGCCGTATATATCCGTGCTCTAACAAAAGTATTATTTATCAGTGGCGCTACAACCTTTTTAGGTCTGGGCCTCAGATTTCTGTATATGTTCCATGATCATTTCTCAATCTAATAGGCAAGTAGGTGATCACCCTCCTGTGACACACGCCGTCGACTTTTTGTATCTAAGGCAAGGTTTCTTCACGATGTTTTCCTTCACCGTTCGAGCGAATGTTATATGCGCACATAGAAAGAAAGCCAATTGATGCATAGCCGGGGATCGAATCTACGACCTGAAGGATTAGAGTCGCACGCTAAGGCCAATAGGCCAACACTGCTCAACATACAAGTATTATAGGGGCATACAAAAACAATGAATAGTTTTTCATGGAACATTTAAGCATATTATTTGACTTAATAATAATATTAAGTAATAATTGTATGTTCGACAATATTGTTTTCACTTCGTCTGCAAGAATAAATACATATTTTTAATAATAAATAATCAAAGTTCACTTTGGCGATTTGTTTTTCCAATTGAATCGTAGTTGCAAAGAAATAATACTTACTTAATTCAATTCTGGAAATTCTCTAATTAAGATGTTATTGACATTTATATCCTTACATAATCTTCAAAACATTAAAACATTTCAGACTTTGGTATATGAACAAAAAAACTAAAATTTTAAATTCACGATACCTTGCGTAGCGTTCTTTGTTCTGCAGCCGTGTCTTATCGCAATTAATAAAATAATGTAATATAGAAATAGATAACCTGTCTGCCCTGATTGATTTGTATTATTAATTAATGTCAAAATTGTCCGTATTACGGAGAAAAACAGGAAGATTAAATTTACCAGATCTCCCTTCGATATTTTTAAACATATGACAATATGTTTGAGAGCTTCAAGACGTTGGTGAAGAAGATTGGGAGAAAAATGCTCAAGACAAAAAGAGATGGAGCCCATTGGAGGAGGCCTATCCTCTATAAG